AAAAAAAAAAGCCATAACAGTTTTTTTTTTTTTAGGGGGGGGGGGGGGGGAGTTCTCCATTTCAGTGAATCTGCCTTATCACATGACTGATTTATTGTCTGTTGAGCAGGTGGCTGAACCAGGAAATAGTGTTGTCAGTTTCCTGACTGCAGTACAGTTGAATCATAGGACTAAGTTTAACAACATTACAACTCTTTTGAAATGGTTCAAATATCTGTCTACTGAGTACTGACTATTGAGAGTCTCTCTTGGCTGGAGTTTTTATGGAGGTAGTAATGTAGGACTGAGCCAGTCCTTGCAATGCAGATGCCAAACTCACTGGCCACCTTTTAGGTACACCTTGTTAGTACTGGGTTGGACCCCTTTTGTCTTCAGAACGACTTTAATTCTTCGTGGCATAGATTCAACAAGGTGATGGAAACATTCCTTTGAGAGTTTGGTCCATACTGACATGATAGCATCACACAGTTGCTGCAGATGAGTCTGCTGCACATTCATGATGCAAAGCTCCACCAGCCTGAACCAGTGATGCAAGGCAGGATGGATCCATGCTTTCATGTTGTTTACATCAAATTCTGACCCGACAATCCAAATGTCGCAACAGAAATCGATACGCATCAGACTAGGCAGCGTTTTTTTCCAATCTTCTATTTTACAATTTTGGGGAGCCCTTGCAAACTGTAGCCTCAGTTTCCTGTTCTTAGCTGACAGAAGTGGCACTCGGCGTGGTCTTCTGTGGCTGTAGCCCATCTGCTTCAAAGTTCAATGTGTTGTGTGTTCAGAGATGCTCTTCTGCATACCTCAGATGTAACGAGTGGTTATCTGAGTTACTGTTGCCTTTCTATCAGCTTGAACCAGTCTGGCCATTCTCCTCTGATCTCTGACATCAACAAGGTATTCTTGTCCAGAGAGCTGGCGCTCACTGGATATTTTCTCTTTTCAGACCATTCTCTGTAAACCCGAGAGATGGTTGTGTATGAAAATCCCAGTAGATCAGCAGTTGCTGAAATTATTAAAACCAGTCCGTCTGTCACCAACAATCATGCCATGTTCAAAGCCACTTAAATCACCTTTCCCCATTCTGATGCTCGGTTTGAACTTCAGCAGACCATCCTGGCCATGTCTACATGCCTAAATGTATTGTGTTACTGCCAAGTGATTGCCTGATTAGATATGTGTTAATGAGCAGTTGAAGAGCTGTACCTAATAAAGCGACCAGTGAGTGTATACATTACTGAGTTCAGAATGTGTAACAGACTACGTGTGCTTCCCACAAGGAATCTGGAATGGTTTCCTATAGCAACCATGTTTACTTTCACTGTATACATTGCCATATAAAAGCCAATATCTTTCCTTAACTTCTAAAACATATTTATAAATAGCCATGCATGTGATTTTTGTCTCATATTTTCAGATTGCTGTAGCGAGACTACAGTGTGAATTTGTTCCCCCTCTGAAATCGTCTAGATCTTGAAGTAGTCTCGAGGGTGCTAGACTCCTTTTCTATTAAAAGGTGGCTCAAGCCGTGTCAGGCGAATTCACTGATGATACGTATGTGCATCTGTATGCATTTGGCTCCCCCTTGTGGATATGCAGCAAGATTGCATGAGGGGCTGCAAATGTAGAAAGTTTTTTTATTTCTGGCTGTAGCTGCTGCATATTAACTCTTTATAGTGGCATCAATTGTTACATTTGTATGCTCTAAAAGTTCAACTACATTTTGTTCTGTTGCAGTCTAAAAGGATATCTTCAAAAGACGCCTTGGCTCACCCATACCTGGATGAAGGTCGTCTACGATATCATACCTGTATGTGCAAATGTTGTTTCTCCACATCTACTGGCAGAGTCTACACCAATGACTTTGAACCCATTACGAATCCAAAATTTGATGACACATTTGAGAAGAACCTTAGCTCTGTACGGCAGGTGAAAGGTGAGTTTTGTGTTTTCTACCCAAATATAAAAATCAAGGCAGTTTCTTGAAGTAATGTTAGCAATACACTTTGTTAGTCAATTACCTTTGTAGGTCACTTTATGAAGATCTCGGGCATCAGTCTGGTTCGGCTGTGGGTAATGGTCCCTCACGCTTGTTTGCGTCTGCACCACAATTGATTGGCTCTGTAAATGACACTCCAGGGAAGTCTGTGCTTCTCATCCCACCCATACAGCTACACATATGCCAATGCCTCTTACGAAGTTCCACTTAATCACTCTGGTGCTGCTCTGTGTTTTGAGCAGGGGTGGTAATGTCTTTGTAAGTTATTTAAACTGTTCCTATGTAGTGATTTACAACTCATTCCCCATCTTAATGGGGGCTTAATCTTGACTTGAAGAAAAGTCAAGGCCATGGGTACAGTTTTGGCTTGCGATCCAAGGAACTTCACAAAGGTTGATTTTGAAGGCTAACACAGGTACTTGCATGCATCACAGGATGCCTCCACTTAGCAGAGCAGTTAACATAGGCACTTTTAAGGTGAGGGCCAGTTCATTTGCAGCTTAACAAAATTGGAGTCTTTAAATGGTGCTGATATTGGGGGAAATGGGTGTGGCCACTTAAGGGTGTGGCCACTGAGGGGCGCTGTAAAGCTTTCTCGCACAGGGCACCTTAAGGCCGGCCCTGTGGGTGACCAGTGCATGTTTTAGAGGAGAGGGTAAGATGCTAGAAGAGAGGGAGAATTGAAGATATGAGTAACCTTTTCTGTAGTGACAAGGTCAAAAGAGTAAATAACTGAATGTGGTGGTAGACGTGGTATTTTATTTGGGGAAGACGACTGGGTAGTAGATATTACATATCATAAATTTCATTTATCTTGGGTTTTTCTTTTAATAGGCAATACTCCTAGGCAGTGAATGAGTTAGTGGGTGAGCGGCAGTGGGAGATGAAGTAGAGAGTTAAAGGTAGAAAGGAGTTTGCAAGGACTGGTTGAGAGTGTGCTGATGGGATAGAAAGGAGAGAGAGACGTTCGATTTTAGGAGGGCAGATTTATACCGGGGCAACGTTCCCTTGTTTCTTTGTGATTTATTTTTTCTTTCTTGCAGGGACTTTGTTTTACGCCACACTCCCTAGAACATGGCTGTGGCTTTTGGCAGTGACAGTGTTGTAGCGGCCGAGGCCTAATTCTCTGTGCAGTGACAGATGCCAGGGTGTGTAGGGAAGACACCCTGAAGACACAAATAGCTAGGCTAGGGCAGGACAGGGGATTGATTTTGTCATGTAGGTAGTCTATATATACACTTTGACAGTCTATCATACTCCCTATTGGGGAGATTTTAATTTGCTTCCTGTATGGGTAGTTGGACAGGAAATGTTGAGACTTCTCCCAGATGACACACAGAGCATTAGAAACTTGACTGAGGTTCTAATTCTTTTCCACCAAACCAGAAAAGAGCTATTGGCTGGAACCCCATGTTAATAAGAATCTTGCACGTTTTTCCACACAGATTCATTGAATCTTTACAAGCTGGTGTATCAGAAAGTAGTTTGGTGGCATGTGTCAAAAATAAGCGCAGAAAGATAAAAAGCAATTTGACTAATGATGGTTTTGCTTGATTTCCTATAGATTTCATTTTGTGATCTGTCTTACAGAAATCATCCATCAATTTATTTTGGAGCAGCAGAAAGGAAACAGGGTGCCGCTCTGCATCAACCCTCAGTCTGCTGCATTTAAAAGCTTTATAAGGTACGTCACAGATCACCTTTAGATTATTGTTTCTTATGGGAAGCAGCATTCTGTCAGTTGTCTTATTTAGTTTTGGAAAGTATATGTACTCATAAGCACATTGATATACATTAACTGTAGCAAAACCTCATAATTGTATGAATAAACTTTACCCATATCTTCAAGTAACAAAGGCAACTTTAGAAATGCTTAGTAATGACAATCTACAAACAGGTACGTCTAGATAATTGCCGGCCTATTTATTTTTTGCATACCTTATTTTTTCTCTCATTTCCCAGTGTTCTGACAGTGGCCATTTTAACCTAGGGCAGGTTACTAGATCTCTCTTTACTTCCTGGAACACTGGCATATGTGACTAGGACATGTGACCATTTACATTATCTCAGGGGAGGAAAATGCCTTTCCCTGAGATCTTATGAGATTGCCCAGCAATGCTCTGCTGATGTAACCTTCCCAAGATGCAATGCTTGGGCACATTACATCATGTGTGCCAAAGAGGACCAGGTAGTGGGGAAAAAAAAAAAATTGTAAAATAAGAATGTTAGTTCAGCGAATGTAAGATTATTTCATATCAGCATACTGAGCTGTATGCTGATATGATTTTTAGTCAAAGGGGTAAAGGTCCACTTTATGGTTCCTGCAGCACAGAGTGAGAAGACTAACATTATTTTTGCTTGGTTTTTATTCTTTGACCTTTATTCTTTATCGGACATGCTAGAGTATTGCAAGCACGTTATGTGTACACTGTATAGAACACATCCTTTACTGCATGCATACTCTGTAAAAGGCTAAAATATATTATGAGACCAGGTGCAATCATCACTACTCAATGACTGCTTCAAATCCAAACTTCATTGAACTGCCTGCTCAAAGTCTTTACTTAATAAAGTTGCCCTTTTTTCATATTGAATTCAAGTTTTATAACACTTATGTAGTCAGCAAAATCGTGATTTTTATTCAATTTTCACAGCCATTGATTTTCTTGCACGAACAATGATTACAAATGTGTTCCTGTTTTACTGGCACTTCAGGATAAAATCTGCCTATCCCCTCAGCATTCAGCTGCAGGGAAGGTCTGCTGCCTGGACAGACTCCCTATTGTGTAATAGCTAGAGCTCTCAAATCAGCAGGGAGCATGAGCTTTGCTGATTGCCTAGCTCTCAATGCCAAGCATTTCTGACCACTGCTTCCACATACAAAGCAGCAGTCCATCTCTGCAGTTTAATGCCAAGAGGACAGGTCGATATCCTAAAGAAGCTCCAGTGGTGGGCTTCACTAAAAGTTTGTGTCTGAAGCTTATCAACACACTTTGGAGCCTCATGGAAATACTTTGGGGCACCGCCAACAGAAAACGTACAACCCTGCCCTAAAGTTATTGATTGTTTGACCAAATGACTGCAGTTCTCATTCTGGTTTGGTACAAACTCTTTTATATTGGAAGTAACCTTGCTGTTCTTCTGTATTTACAGTTCCACTGTTGCTCAGCCATCTGAGATGCCGCCATCTCCACTGGTTTGGGAATAAGTGTGGAAGACTTACTACTGAAGGTGTCCTGTAGCTTTCCACTGGAGTCTGGGAATTGCAATTCTGATAATGCTTGTACTGTCATTTTCTTTCTTAGGATTTAACTTATCAACCACTAACCGTAAATCTATATTCTATTTAAGACAAATGGTGTTTTTATCGACTTTGTCTCATATGTCGGTGGTTGTTTTATTAGCTAATTTATCCCTGAGTTGCTGATTTTATGAATTTGAAGCAGTTTTAAGGCTCAGAACAAATTGACAGTTGCACCAAATTTTGCAGAATTATTTTTTTTTCTTTTTTGTAGAGGGCAGT